TTTTTTTTTTAAAAAAACAATGCAATAATTTTAAACCTAATTGTTCTTTTAAATTTTTGTACCATGATATACTTAAAATATTTCCCCATTTTTATAAAAGTCATAAACGAATTAAAACATAAGTAACGGATTTATTTATTGTTTTTTAAAGTTTCGAAAAAAGATTAATTAGAACAATTATTCAAGAAACAATCAAAAAAAAAAAAAAAAATCTAAAATAATTTTAAAAATAATTTTCAATAAAAAAATTATTATTTTATTATCTAATTATTATTAGATTGATTAATCATCTACAATTGATTGTGGATCGATCATTACTTGGTAGATTATTTTCTTTTTTAAAAAATATCAAAAATATCGTAAGTTCAATAAAATATAAATCTTTCCACTTCGTTTAGTTATTTTCATTAAAAAGTAGATCAAAAAAAGTAGATCTGGGGTTAAAAAAATCTCAAATTCTTTTTTCTTTTTTACTTCAATCTTCATATTGTAAATCTGATCGTCGGGCTAAAAATCTGGCCTAAAAAAAAATATTTTGCCAATTTTGCCCCGTTATTTGTTATTTATTCCGTTATTTTGTTATTTTTGTTGGGGTAAAAAATATTTATTACACCAAAAATTTCCAAATTTTACAAGGTATTTGACGTGTTACGTTGTTTGACGTTACGTTTGTAAACGTTTATAGACTGTTTGTAGGTTTGTAGACGTTATTGTAACATTTGTGACATCATCGCAAAACCGTGACATCATGACATTGTAGAACATCGTAGAACATCGTAGATATTCGATATCGTGACTTCGTAGTTCGTTAGACATCGTAGATATACAGACATACGGTTACAGTTACAGTTACAGTTACATTGTCATTAATGTCCATCAAAGTTTATCATGTCGTCAAAGTCCATCATGTCGTCATTACCGTCATCCCAAAAAAATTCTTCGGTTTTGGTTCGGACTTTACCCCTTATTTTATTTACTTTTTTTACTTTTTTAAAAATTATCACATCTTATCGAAATAAATTATCGGAATAAAACATCGGAATAAAAATAATCTAACCGAAAAAATATAAAATTTCCACGTCATAAAAAGGTATTATATATAATTCACGAATAATATATGGATAATATGGCGAAAACCTCCTTAAAAATCTTAAAATTACACAAGTTTAACACAGCCCAATCCTTATTATCAATATTTATTTAAGGGTCCAACTTGAAGGTAACAAGATTTTTGGTTCAAATTTGCAGTATTGTTTATTATTTATATCTCAGGTGTTACAAATAATCGAAAAAATTTTATTAAACGCGAGATGAAAAAAGAATCACGGAACCCTTTTGAAATAAACAATAATGTGGTGATACTAATCTATTGATAAATAAAATTACGCGTAATATTCTCTCCTGATTTGGCGGGTTATTTTCCCTAAATATTAAAAATGTTAAAGTTTATCTTTAATAGAAAGAAAGGAGGAAATGTATAGACGATCTTTCACCTTATCGGTTACATTCTGACAAGAAATTAAACAGGATTTCTTTTTTTTTTTTTTCAACGAATCATTAAAATTGGTTCATTCGAATTCATTAAGTTAAACCTTTTTAAATACTTGTGAGAAAAAAAAAATTGGGCGTTTTTTTTTTAGTTATTGGATTTATTGGATCAAAACAAGTAACAAAACAGTGCGTGCATTATTGTTAATGAAAAGAAAAAAAAAAAAAATTTCCATCCATTTTCATTCTTTTTAAAAGCAAAAAGAAAATAACCATTCAAAGTAAAAGTTAAAAAAAAAAAAAGAAAACGTGTTTCCCGCTTTATAAAAAATCGATTCGTGGTATTAAGGGATATCACCTGAAATTACTTAAATTACTTAAAATTACTTAAACAGTTTTTATTACGAATTTCACATACTAATACATATTTTGCAGTAAGGCTTTTTAGCCATTAATATTTTTTTTTGCCATTTTACCATGAATGGTTTACATAATAATAAAAAAAATCGTTATCGTGGGCTGTATATCTCGGAAAAAAATATGAGAGTTATATATATAAATATATATTATATATATATATTATTATTATACAGTTATTTTAGTTATTTTAGTTATTTTAGTTATTTTTATATGTCAATTTTTTTTTTATGTCAAAATAAATATTTTATAAATAAAAACTTTAATTTTATTAAAAACCCTTTATTTATTATACTTAATAAAGATATGATAAACTATATATTTATCGAAACATTTTCATTCTCTTGAATAAACAAAAAAAACATGAAATCGACCCCAACAAAACTTTCTTTAGAACAATTAAATAATCATTATATTCTTTTCAGACATGGACAATCTAAAGCAAATGTTGCCAAAATTGTAGTATCCCGACCGGAGAATGGAATACCTTCTAAAGGAGTAGGACCTCCTTCTCCATCTTCCAACTCTAGTGAAGGTAAAGGTTGGGGATTAACAGAATTTGGTAAAGAACAAGTTAAAAATGTAAGTTATAGTGGAAACAATGAACTCTTTTTTTCTCATTCAAATAGTGAAACAATAAGTCCAAAAATGGTTTTATTGAAAAAAAAAAAAAAGTGTTTCGTAATCGCATAATTATTGTATGAATTCCACCCTACATTTATTTATGCTATAAAATGCATAATCACATTCCTCTTAATTACCTAATTTTATTTATTTTTTTATTCGTGCCCTTTGCTTTTTTTATGCAAAATAATAACAATGGAAGTTACAACAAACATTTTTCTAATTAGGAAAAAAGAAAACTTTAAACATGTTTTTTTTTATTTTTATTTTTAGGCTTCACGAGATTTATCAAACTATTTTAATAATTTTCAAAATCAGGAAATAGATGATGATAATATACTTGATAAATTCAAAAATTCTGAGAAATTACAAAAATTTCATATTAAAATTTATTCATCCCCATTTATTCGTACTGTTGAAACTGCAAATATTTTACTCAATGAATTATTATTAACAAATAATAATTTATCAATTCATTCAGAAATTATTATTCATGATGATTTAATGGAACGTAATTTTGGAATTTTTGAATTAAAATCTGATAAAGAATCTTATTCTAAAGTATGGAAAATGGATGAATCTTATACTTTAGAAAATGAATATAAAGAATTACAAGTTGAAACTTGTGAAGAAGTCAGATCACGAATATGTAACGTAGTTAATGAGATTGAACGAGAACATCATATAATTGCGATATTAGTTAGTCATGGGGATCCATTGCAAATTTTACAAACGGCTTTTGAGAATGCTGATACCAATTTACATAGATCATTAAATCATTTAGAAGTAGCTCAATGGAGAATTTTTGGACCTAGGTAGTTTGTTATTGAAAGATTAGTAGTAGGACTGTTGTTATTGGGGACTGTTAACTTGTTGCTTCCTGTTGGATGTTGGACTATTGCCATTATTACTTGCTGTTGGATGTTGGACTATTGCCATTATTACTTGCTGTTGGATGTTGGACTATTGCTATTATTACTTGCTGTTGGACTATTACTGTTACTTGTTATTGGACTGTTAGCTTGTTATTGTTTTATAGGGCTGTTAACGTTATTATTGTCTGCTATTAAATTTATTTATCTGGTATATTATCTGTTGTCCCGTCCCGCTATTATTATCTGTTATCCCGCTATTACCTGTTATCCCGCTATTATGTGCTATTAATGTTATTATGTCCCGCACTCCGATATTACCTATTCCCTGTTGTCCCGCTATTATCCGTTATCTGGTATCATTTTAACCGTGTTTATCACACTATCGTACACACCTAACATAATTTTCAAAAAGATTAAGAGTTGGCCAATGCGTGGCTCATCGATGGCTTGATATTTTTTTTTATATTGGCATTTTTTTAATACTTTTATATACTTTTATATTGGCTTGGCATTTTTATATTAGCAATTTTATATTAGCCCTAATAAAAAAAAGAACTTTCCCTTTCTTTTAAAATAAATGACTTTCATTATGCATTCTTCTGCCCTTTGCATTTCGACTGCATTTCCGTCAATTGTGTTCCTTTTTTAATCTCTTCTTTTCTTTCTATAATTCGTTGGAAATCAATAATCATTTAGGCTGGAAAAGTAATTTGAATGAATACTAATAAGAACTATTTTCAATGACTAATATTATCTTTTTTTTTTTTTTTTTTTTTTTTTGCCTTTGCACCAAGAAAAAAATGTATTTGTTTGAATGATGATAATGAGAAATGACTATATTTAGAATACTTATTGGTTTATCCCATAAAAGTTGAAAAGGCGCAGGTAAATAGTACTTTTTGCCGTACTTTTGCATCCTAACGGCGAAAGGTATAAGGTATGTTATGTTTTATGTAAGTAAGTAATGTAAGTAAATGTAAGTAAGTAAATGTAAGTAAGTAATGTAAGTAAGTAATGTAAGTAAAGGCTAAGTATTAAATCGGAATTTGCCATGATTCTTGACATTTTTTTTTTTTTTGCGGAGAAAAAAATATTTCTTTGTTTAAAAATAATAATAATCATAAATAAAATCGAAAATCGAAAATCTAAAATCGAAATCGAAACAAAAACTTTGAACTTTCTTTAATTACACACGTTTTTACATCTTTAAATGTCGCGTGTTTTTTAAGGAAAAATTCATCGCGTGATATTTTGATTGATTTTTAAGCAAGTGTAATAATCAAATGTAATAATCAAATGTAATGTAAAAAGCAAATATTAAAAAGCAAAAAAAAAAAAAAATTTTTTTTAAAGTAATCTTTTCTTATTCGTGAATTTATCTTATTTGTTTTTATTTTATTTTGTTTTTTATTTTTTTTTACCCTGCTTTTGTGTTTATGAATCTTATGAACCTTATGAAACCTTTTTGTTTTTATTTTTAAGGTACGATTACGCCGCAGTGAAATTATATATTAAAATGACTCATAATAACTTATCTAGGTAATGGGCTGAAAAATGTGAACTAAAAAAAGGCTCAAGGAAAAATTTTTTTTTTTAAAAAAAAAAACGACTAAAAAAAGGCTCAAGGATTTTTTAAACTTTAATTTTTTTTTATGATAAAATGGAAATTACAACCATTTTGTGAACCGAATTTCTTTTCTTTTCTTTTCCCATTTAAGTATCATGATAAATAACAACGGGGCTCATTTTATAACAAAATAAAATATTACATCATAAAAAAGTAAAAAGAAAAAAAAAAAATTTTTTTACATCCAGCCGAAACTATAATATAAAGTCTTTGGAGTTTTAGATGGATTTTTGGATAATTTATTATAATTTATTATAAATTAAAATTTTCCATTAAAAAAAATAATAATTTTATTACTATTTTTTTAAAAGTTTTTTTAATTATGCAATACGTGTCTTTTCCCTTAAAAAGAAAAAAGAAGAAAAAAGGAAGAAAAAATTATTCTTATTTATTAATTAATTAATTATAGATAATTATAGGATACTTTTTTTTTTTATTTGTTTATAGAATAGTATGTCCTTATTTTGAAACAATTATTTGTTCATTATCATATGTGAATTCTTTAAAAATTCTTTTTCGTTCTAGTTTTCGAATTGGGCCCGCGTTAAAAAAAAAAAAATTGGGACATGTTCATCTGAACAATCTGAATCTGCACACGTGATTGATTGATTAAAAAATAAAAATTTAATAGTATTACAGTAATTTAAATGTAATAAAAATTTAATAGTATTATTTTCAATTAGTTCTTTCGATATTTCGACTTTTTTACAATTAAAATATTCAATTCTCTCTTTATTTTTTTTTTATAAACAACATATTACACTTTTTTACACTCTTACACCAAAATAAACTTTTTTTTTACACCTTTTTGTTTCAAAAAAAAAAACAATAACTTGTTTCAAATTTTAAATTTTTTTTTAAATTTTTGTGTGAAATCTTTTTCTAATTTTAAATTATCATTATTATAATTATTATTTTTATTATTATTATTATTATTAAATTTATTTATTTATTTATTTTTTTGAAACATTTCTCTCTCTTTTTACATATCTGTTATCTGTATTTGTATTTTCTTGCTTATTTATTTGTTTTATTTGTTTTAAACTTAAAAATTTTTTTTGTTGCTTTTTTATTTTATTTTATTTTTTTCAAATAATGCATATATATTTAAAATACCAAATATATATTCAAATATTTCAAATACCAAATATATTTCAAATATCCAAATATATATTCACTCAGGATGTCCAAAATATATTTTCAAATACCAAATATATTTCAAATACACAAATATATTTCAAATTTCATATATTCACTCAGGATGCCCAAATATATTTCAAATACCAAATATACTTACCCAAAATTCCAAATATAACAAATATAACAAAAAAATGCCAAATATATAAAAAATACCACATTAACTTTAAAAATCTAAATTGAATGTATTTATTACACGTATACACATATAATTAAAATACCAAGCAAGGTAAATTGGCTTATTTTACCTTGCCACAATTTTTTTCAAAAAAAAATTGACTTTATGAGAAAAAAAAAAAAAAATGATTGAGATTAAAAAGAATTAAAAGATGATAAAAAAGATTGAAGACGAAAGAATGAGATGAAGAATGAGATAAAATAATTAATTGAGATGAAAAAAAAAAAATGAGATAAAGAATTAGAAGAATGGAAGAAAAGATGAATGGGAAAAAAAAGGAGAGAAAAAAGTGAATAATGTGTGAGAAATGTGAGAGAGTGAGAAAATTTCCATCTTTTCATATTATATTCATTATATTCATTATTATAATAAAAAAAATTATCACAATTATAAAAAAAAATTATCACGCATATCATTACGAAATTAAAATAAATAAGCGATCAGACGAACATCTTACTCATCTAAAATGTAATATTGCATTAAAAAAAAGATCATTTCATATGAAAAAAAAAAAAAAAAAATTATTTATTTACTTACCTGCAGGCAGATTTTGAAAAAAGAAAGTTATTTTAAAAAAAAAACTGTATTGATTAAATAATAAATAAATCATGTCATTCATGCATCGGAAACAATCACTATTTCCTAAATAAACTTACATATACATAATATAACTTTTTTAATGTAGGTGGCGAACCTTTCAAACTAGGTTTTTTTTCATAGTGGCGAGATAAGGGGGGGTTCGAGTCAATTTAATTAAATTATGATTCACTATATCAAGTAGTAATTCATAATATTCACGTTTTCATGCTTTTTTGTTTATTTTCCAACAATTACCGATAATTACAATTTTTTTAATTAAATCATCTAAATCATCTAAAAATCGTTTATCTAAATCACATGATGAGAGAAACTTTACCAAAATATTCAACGCGCAGAACAATTCAAAAAATTCATCGATTCTTCATTATCGAGAAATTTACCAAGAATAAAATTTAAATGTTGTATTTCTCCGAAATCGTACAACCTGTTCGTTATGCATACTCATTCATTATCTTTCGAAACTTGCATTAAGGAGAGATCCTACTAATCAATAAAAGAAACGATGTATATATGATATTTTAAGTTGATATATAATCGATATTAAAAAAAAAAACGATATAATGTAATATATTTATTATATATTGTATAATATTCTTTACGTTTTCTTTAAAATCTCTTGTCCCACTCATTTAAATTTATATAAAGTCATTCGACAATCAAAAAAAAAAAAGAGGATTTTTTTTTTTTTTTTATTTCAAGGTAAATTATTATTATTTATTTTTACATATTAAATAAATTAAAATAGAAAACATATTACATACTACCCGAGTATTAATAGTTTTCTAAATCAAAGAGTTTTTTATATTCTTTCCTATTAAGAGGTTTTAAATGAAAAAGTTATGTACAATCAAGTATGATAATAACAAATGACTTGCCAAATTGAGGTTTTCGATTGTTCTCGGAAGAATTTTATAATAAAAAAAAAGAAAACAAATTAAAGGAAAAAGAAAAAAAAATAAAGCAAAGATTGAGCATCCAGATCTGGGTTTCTTTATTCATCGTACAACGAGAAACAATAGCACAAGAGCGACGCTAGAGCACTGATGATTTCAATAATAATCCCACCCCAATTGGTGAAGAATGGTGAAGAATGGCGAAGAATTGAAAAAAAAAGAGAGAAAAAAAAAAGAGCAATTGTGAGAAATTTGTCCAGCCAATAATCAATATTGATAATAATTTTTCACAAAAAAAAAAAACACCCCATTTTCCCCTTAAACAACTAATTATTCTTCTCAAGTATCAAAATTAAAATCGAAATCATAATAATATTTTAAAATGTATAAAACTATTATCACACAAACTGAAATAATAAAAAACTGATCATACAATCCAGAAAAACAACTTGAATTATCCTCCTCCACTTCTCGTTGAGGAATTTGTTGATAATTGTGATAAGGAGCGTTGTAGAATGGATGTGATTGTGATGAATGATAATATCCTAATAAAATTAATAAATTAAATCATGATAGATCAACGTTTTGGATCAAATATTAATCATGTTAAATCAATGGTTTAAAATCAATGTGTTGAAATAATCAATAATTTAGATCTTACCTTGATTCATACTCCCGTAACACGCCTGTCCGTTAACTCCATTACTTGCACAATTATTTGCATATGGGGAAGTTTGATATGGTAATGGTGGTTGATTTGGTGAAGCGTAAACTATTGGATATTGCGATTCACCTGAATGTTGATAATTTTGTTCACTTTGATATGATTGATAATGATTATATTGATAATGTTCAGGTATTGGTGGCATTGGAGCTCTAGGTAAATTGGTGCTAATGGATGTTTCTCCAGAACGAACATTTGAATAATAATCTTGCTGCGGGTTTGTATCTACCCAATGAGCTTGAGCTTGAGCATATTCTTCATCTTGAAGTTTTTGAGCAAGACGAAAATCAGCGTCTGGAGGGATGACAGTGGCAGGGTAAGGGTTTTGGGAGTGATACTGTTGTTGAGTCTTGATAACAAATAAAAAAGATTTATTATTTTAACATGATAAAAAAGTTTTTTTTTTTTTTGTTATGATTTAAGAGTATGATTTAAGATATATATAAAAAAAAAAGGGTGTCCTCTAGATATTACTATCTTTTTTTATTATATATACTGTACTCTTACCGGATTATTATTATTGTTGGTATTATTATTAATAATATTATTATTGCTATTGCAATTATGGGTATGTTGGTCGACCAAAGTATAAGGAGGAGGAGGAGTATACCCAACGTGAGACTCTTCTTCTTGGACTCGTTGCATTTTGTATTTCTTCTTCCTATTACAAAAAAGCAGAATATTTGGATGGAAAAAAAGAATCAGTGCCCCAAAGAAATGTGGTAAGTAGTTCATTACCAAAATGAAAGGTTGTACAAATTGAAAAAAAACGCCAGGACGCCCAAAAGCACATGTGAACACTTTATCACTGCAGAATCTATCAGATAGGGTGATTTATCACCAGATCATATAATTGAATAATCTCATAATTTCCATTCTTACCAATGACAAATATAGTAATGGCTATGTTGTAAAAAGTGACAAGATCAGTTAATTAATTTTGAGAACAGACAGCACATACTTTACGCAGTTAAAGTCATAAATGCACGACTAGTATCTAAAATGAGTTTTGAGATTTAGGGATTATTATATTATTATTTGTCATACACGGAAAAGATTTCAAAAAAAATAAAAAAAAAAAAAAATTATATAATGAAGAAGTTTAAAAAATTTATTATTTACATATTTACACTAAAATAAATATTTCTCCCAATAATGGATTAATAACACACTACATTTATAATATTTTACCTTAAATATTTACCAAATATTTACAACCATTTACGGTTTACTATATAATCTTTTTTTTTTACCAACCCAAAGATGAATAAATTAATTTATTTCCAAATTTTTTAACCTTTTTTTTTTTTTTTT